GATGGAGCTGATTGCTGTGCTGGGAGAGTGGAGATTTCTTATAATGGCAACTGGGGCACAGTCTGTGATGATTCCTGGGACCTATCAGATGCCAAAGTCATTTGCAAAGAGCTGGGATGTGGACACGCCATCAGTGCAACTGTCTCTGCTCATTATGGGCAAGGGTCCGGGCAGATCTGGATGGATGAGCTGAAGTGCTCTGGAGCCGAATCCACTCTTTCAGAATGTCCTTTCAAGGGCTGGGGGCAGCATAACTGTGGGCATCATAAAGATGCAGGCGTGCTCTGTTCAGGTCTGTTCTGTGAACACTTTGTTTCACTGATTAATAAGGAATGAATATGAGAGATGAATGTTAGCTACTGGAGATGGAAAATCAGAACATAATTGAATGTGATTGAGAAAAATCTCTCTGCTCAGAAGGAGAAATTTTTCAGGAATAAATGCTAGAAAAAATGATAAGCAACAGAGTTAAGATCCATCTCCTAGACTGTGGGGAATTGTAGGACAGGACACACCTTCCCTCAAAATGTGTGAACCCCAGGATTTTTCTTATTATGATGACATCAGCTATAACAGAGGCCAAAATCACTGTTTTGTAACCTAACTAAAGTTTTTAATATTGCTATACATATAAAATGAAATAGTTTATTTAATTTAATTCCTATCACTTCAAATTGTGGAAAAACTCAGACTATTGAACTGGGAAATTTGAAACTGGAAATTGAGCTGAAACTGAGGCACTAATGATGATATGGTTTAGCGCAGTCAGAGTGGAAATGCAGAGACAACCTGCAACCAAGGCTGGTTGTCTGTATGGGCAAAAAACAGAAAAGCCATAATTTTAAATTAAAAAAAGAAATATCTATGATGCATTGTTATTTGTCATAAGAAATATTATGAGAAGTTTAATAGTCTTTAATTTACAAGAAGCACAATCTGAAACCAACTAATTTTTAGATTAAGTGTCTTAGAAACTCATAGTCCACTACAGGCAGTCCCCGGGTTACGTACAAGATAGGGATTGTAGGTTTGTTCTTAAGTTGAATTTGTATGTGTGGTTTAAAGTAAAAGGTTTGGAAATGTGGCTAGTCCCAGGAAGGCGCAGAAACAGGCAAACTATTACTAAATATCTTCTAAACTTTTATTAAAGGGCTTCTACGTATAAATTATGATTTTATCAATTTCTTACATACGTAGGCACTAAATAATTATTAGAATGTCCAAAAAGCAAAATGCAATACAGTGAAGAAAATTCTTTGAGGTTTCTCTAAATCCCAATAGTTGTTAACAAGGGACTAGGGATTATTAACAGTTACATTTACATCAGTCTTACTTATAAGACTAATCATTTATCTAAAACTTTTAACACTACTACTTAACAATACCTCTAAACAATTTCAGATAACAATACTTACATTTAACAGACACACAAACTACAACAACAACATATTTGGTATTCGTTATGTTTGGTATACGTTACACTCTACAGGAACTCGTTTGGTTCAGTGAGCGGGTAGTGGCCTTTGGGTGATCAGTCCTTGGACCTGGCTCATATTCCGCCATCCAATGTTTATTCGGGATTCCTCAATTTGATAGAGGAGGGGTAGCTGTTTTATAGAGAGCTTTTGCGCACTTTTTGTGATAGGCTAGCAGACCCTGTCTGCTAAGTGACAGGGGTAAGGGGGTGAGATGGTTTCCTGTTTTGCCTTTTCTGCCTTATTGGGCATGGCACAGTCAGCACAACCAGCATGAACTTTACATGAACTTTTTAGGTCTGGTTTTGGTTCCTGTTCGTCGCTGACCTTTAAGTTACATAGTGTAAGGGTTTTCATCAAGGGGAAGTTGACCTTTTGCTTGGATGGCAATACGCGCGAGAGGCCTGGCCAGCAAAGAGCCTGCTTTCACAGTATGTAAGTCGGAACTGGGACATGCGGGGAGAGGGAAATGCGTGTAGTCTATAGGATTAACCTATAAGCTTTTGCTAATCGTTTAATCAACTACACTATTATATCCCTAGTCCAGGGACATCTTTCTGGGTCCCTGGTCCATGTAGAAAGATAAAGTGGGAGAATTTTAAAATCATCTGGAATTAATTTTTTAACCTACTAGATAAACGGAGTGGCAGGATCATACATGAGAGCAGTATTAGATCACTTACCCTGACAAGCATGAGGCTGTCAGGTTTGTCTGGAATGGAAGTCAGTGTAGGTCTAGAAGAAGAGAAATGGAGTCCATCAAGATTGTCCATTCAGTCTGGACATTATCTCACATGTAAGCTGTGATTGCTATAGGATGAGTGGCCACCAGGGCATCTGTGCTTTTTCCTCTTCTTTTGAAAGAACTCCCTCTTCCCCATCCACACACGCCTTTTTCTGAAAGAGCTCTTTGGGAGAAAGGCTTCTTCCTCATAGAAAGAGGTTTACCAATGTTGGAAAATCCCCTCTGTTCTTTCAGTTTTTTTCGAAAGAACACAATTGCGGTGTGGACGTAAGTGAAGTTTTTTCAGAAAAATAGTCATTTTTTCGAAAAAACTCTGCAGCGGAGACATACTCAGTGTAGACCTAATTTTGTAAGAATTCACAAAGCAGACTTGCTTCCAAGCAGATAACCCAGAGAAACAAGGAATATGAATGTATGGGGAGGGAAGCAAGGTGGGAATCAAACACCACTGACTGTATTAAAGCTGCCTTGGAATATGCAAACTGCCTCGTAAGTAGGAGATGATACCTATATTTACAGTCATGATTGCTGAGATCATCATTATAGCACAGGTATTTTTAAGATTTCAGAAAACATCCTCTTCTTTGATTGCATCTAGAATTTCTCCTTACAGGAAGCAAGCAAATCAGACTGGTGAATGGAGTAGATAGATGTGCCGGGAGAGTGGAAATTTATTACAACAACACCTGGGGGACAGTCTGTGATGATTCCTGGGACACATCAGATGCCAATGTTGTTTGCAAGGAATTGGCATGTGGACATGCCATCAGTGCACCTGGCTCAGCTCATTATGGGCAGGGGTCTGGGAAGATCTGGCTGGATGATGTGAGCTGCTCTGGAAGCGAATCCTATCTTCGGGACTGTTCCTCCAGAGGATGGGGTCAGCATAACTGTGGGCATGGTGAAGATGCTGGAGTTCTCTGCTCAGGTCTGTTCTGTGTGTGCTGTGTTGAATCTGATTAACAGAAGCAATGTAAAAGATTGATATTAACTAAACAGGATGCAATAAAATGAGAAGGCAGAAGAGTATGATGGAGAATAATCACTCTGATGGACCCAGAATTCTTTTTGGCATTTTTTTCTACTAAAATTCTTTGTTTCTGCCCTAAACAGTGCAGTGAAGTTGAGATAGGATTTTTTTTCTTAGGGTTAAGCCCAATCTTTTTCTGTTCCAAATCTGCTCCATGAATTAACAGTTTAAAATATTCAAGTACATCAGGCTAAGTACTACCCTTTGAGGCATCATAGTATTAATGTTTTCAGGGTGTAGCCTTATTATAGTTACTTGTTTTCTAGGCCTTGATTTATTCTTGTACCATTACAAAACTTTTCTTCTTACTTTGTGGTTTTTCCTAAATAATCTTTCTGAAAAATACCTGTAAATTGCATCCATCACATTTAGCTGCTCTTTTAGGGCATGCTTACACAGCAGCATTATTTCAGAATAACTGACATTATTCTGAAATAACAAAGAGTATGTCTACACTGCAAGCCATTATTTCAAAATAACGGTGAACTGGAGGACTTCTTACTCTGACTCCTGTAACCCTTATTTCATGAGAAGTAAGGGAAGTTGAAGGAAGAGTGTTCTTCCTTCAACTTTCTGCTGTGTAGACAGCGCCAAAAGCCGAAATAAGCTATTTAACTTAAGCTACGCAATTGATGTAGCTCAAGTTGTGCAGCTTAATTAGACTTTTGCTCTGCTCTGTAGTCGAGCCCTTAGTGATGTTTTGAAAAGTCAAGTATCAGAGAGGTATCCGTGTTAGTCTGAATCTGCATGAACAACAAGGAGTCCTGTGGCACCTTATAAACTAACAGATTTATTGGAGCATAAGCTTTCGTGGGCAAAGACACACTTCATCAGATGCATGTAGTGGAAATTCCAGAGTCAGGTATATATAGGCACATGAAAAGAAAGGAGTACCAATCAAGAGGAAGGCCAGAGAGAACAAGTTCAATTCAGTCAGGGAAGATGTGGCCAGCTTCTAGAAGCTGATGTAGAGGTGTGAAAATGAAGAAAGGAGAAACTGCTTTTGTAATTGCGAAGAAAGGAGAAACTACTTTTGTAGTTGGCTTCACAGTCTTTGTGTAATCCTAAAGTGATAGTGTCAAATTTGCAAATGAATTGTAGCTCTGCAGTTTCTCTTTGAAGTCTGTTTTTGAAGTTTTTTGTTGCAGGATGGCTACTTTTAAATCTGCTACTGTGTGTCCAGGGAGATTGAAGTGTTCCCCTACAAGTTTTTGTATGTTACTATTCCTGATATCTGATTTGTGTCCATTTATTCTTTTATGTAGGGACTGTCCAGTTTGATCAATGTATATGGCAGAGGGGCATTGCTGGCACGTCATATATTACATTGGTAGATGTGCAGGTGAATGAGCCTGTGATGGTGTGGCTGATGTGGCTAGGTCCTGTGATGGTGTCGCTGGTGTAGATATGTGGGTAGAGTTGGCACTGAGGTTTGTTGCAGGGATTGGTTCCTGAGTTAGAGTTACTGTGGTGCAGTGTATAGTTGTTGGTGAGAATTTGCTTCAAGTTGGTAGGCTGTCTGTAGGTGAGGACTGGCCTGCCTTCCAAAGCCTGTGAGAATGAGGGATCATTGTCCAGTATGGGTCGTAGATCACTGATGATTCGTTGGAGAGGTTTTAGCTCGGGACCGTAGGTGGTGGCAAGTGGTGTTCTGTTATTTTCTTTGTTGGGCCTGTTTTATAGGAGGCTTCTGGATACACATCTGGCTCTGTCAATCTGTTTCCTCACTTCTTCAGGTGGGTATTGTAGTTTTAAGAATGCTTGGTGAAGATGTTTTAGGTGTTTGTCACTGTCTGAAGGGTTGGAACAAATGGGGTTATACCTTAGTGCTTGACTGTAGACAATGGATTGTGTGGTGTGTCCAGGATGGAAGCTGGAGGCATGTAGGTAAGCATAGCGGTCTCACAGACCTTGGAAGACAGGCCAGTCCTCGCCTACAGACAACCTGACAACCTGAAGAAAATTCTACAATTCATTTGCAAATTTAACACTATCAATTTAGGATTAAAAAAAAATTGTGAATGGCTATCCAACTACAAAAGTAGTTTCTTCTCTCTTGCCTGTATATTTATACCTGCCTCTGGAATTTCCTCTACATGCATCTGACGAAGTGGGTCTTTGCCCACAAAAGCTTATGCTCCAATAAATCTGTTAGTATATAAGGTGCCACAGGACTTCTTGTTGAAAAGTCAACTATGTGAGAGCAGTGTGTTTGCATAAAAAATGCCTTTTCAACTATATGTATTTATATTTATCCATATTGTCACACAAGCCTGTCTTTAATTAAACTAACAAGTATCAAGCTCCTCTGCATCAAAGTTAGACTATAAGACAAAATCCTGACCCACTGAAGTCAATGGGAATTTAGCCATTGATTTCAGAGGGATCAGGATTTTGCCCTGGGTGTGTAATCTCTGTTATCTCCTCATTTGTCATATTTTTCAATTTTATTTATCAATTTAAAATATTATATCAATGTAATAAGCATTAATAGACAACTCCCCTCCCCAAATAAAAAACAAATGGAAAAATAGCAAAATGAACACATGAGAGTTTTTAATGGGAAAATCATGCACATCACTATTGGAGAAAAAAGGTATGAAACAGAAATATGTTATTGATGATAACATAAGAAACTAATAAACAAAAATTAAAACATTCAACTCATGAAAGGATCCTCTTGATTATTATCTGAAATACTGTATAGGAAAAGCTTTGCCATCATCGTAATTAAAAATATATGTTGTTTCTGATAATTATGCAAGTATACCTTTTACTGGAAAGAGGCCTGAAACATGTAACATATTTCTTACTTTGCCCTGAATTTTAATAATTAATTACATCTCACTTGTGTGACCTAGAAATATCTGGACAGAAATAAGCATTTTGCCTTAAAAAATAATCAGTATTAAATAGAAGATTTATCTTTTCTTTCAATCAGCTCTCATCAC